CAATAAACAAGCTTAATTATATTCTAAGTCAACTACCTAAGTTGATAATTGTTTCTACTTCAACAATGAATGAGAATTACCTATATTCTTAAGCTTCATCTCATCAATATTTTGTGAAGACATAGCCTTACTCTACCATTTGATAAGAAAATGCATGGCCTTTTTTTTTTTTTAACAATTTCTGTAACATTTCTTTTCTCTTACCTTACTTCAGAGGGCCTAAAATTTAACATACCAGAAGGCAGACAGCTAGATATGAAGGTGTTTGACCAGTCTGACACAGAAGTAGACGCAGAGGTGTTTGAAGAAATAGTGAAGGGGTCACCTGTAACCTTCCGAGGCATGCTGAGCAATGAAGAACTTGGTAATCACTCACATACGTATATGTTTATATGAAATTTAAAGGTTGAGATTGAAGCATTAACAGTTAAATTTAATGCTTCTGCTTTGGTCATGTTCCTTAATGCACAGGTGTATCTCTGTCATCATCATCTTCTCCATCGGATGATACAATCATTCTAAACTTCACAATGTGTGAACCTCCTGAAGAAGCAGCAACCACTGAAGGAAGACAACCTAAAAGGCCATGCCATATAAACTATGAGGCAAAAGCTGTGGGTAGTGAACATTGTTAGTCTAATTTGCAGTTCAAAGTGTTACGGACACAAGTACTACTGCTAATGTTGATGTGGTGCCTGAACATTTAGAGCATAGGTGTCAAACTCTGGCCCGTGGGCCAGATTTGGCCCGCAGCCTGATTACATTTGGCCCGTGAAGCCATACCAAATTACTATTAGAGCTGGCCTACTGGTATTATACAGTTAATATATATATTGTTTAGTATTAAGCTTTGCTTGTTCCATATTCAGGTTTTCAGCAAAACTTGTTTGAGTCCATAAAAAAAGATTCATTCTTATATCTAGAGGAAGATTTTTTTTTCAATAAATATTAATGTTAGCCCGCGACTTTGTTCCAGTTTTGAATTTTGGCCCACTGTGTATTTGAGTTTGACACCCCTGATTTAGAGGCTGAGTCGGAATTATCTTCAGCAGACCTTGTAAATAGTTGTGCAGCTGTTATTTCTGATCTAAAGGCAGCAGGTGTAGGCCAAAGTGTAGTGAATTCTGTAGTGAATTCCATGGAAGAGATTGTTCAAGATATCCAACAACATGCTAAAGAAACAGTCATTAAGCATGTATTTAGTAATGAAAGAGAAACAGAAATGTGCAAGAAAGTTGAAGCATGTTTTGATGAGTTAGAGAATCCTTTCTCAGTTCTTAATTCTGAGTACAAGAGGTCAAAATATTTATCAGACAAGTGGGAAACTGTAGAACCAGTTGAATGTGTAATTGGCTCAAGATTTGACACAAGGCGAAATAAAAAGACTGGAACATATGATCAGGCAGTTGTTCAAGATAAATTCATGTATGTTCCAGTTTTATCAACATTGGAATCAATATTTAAGAGTCAGCATGTTGGAGAAATGTTGAAAAAATCAGACACTTGTGATTCAAGACGCAGAGATATTTGTGATGGATCTCTATTGAAGACACGCCCTCTTTTTTTCAACAGAAAAGCACACAGTTCAGATCCAAATGTTCTATGATGACTTTGAGGTTGCAAATCCTCTTGGTTCCAAGCGAGGTATTCACAAGTTGGGTGCAGTATATTTTACCTTAAGAAACTTCTCTCCCAAATGGAATTCTTTTTTGGCCAACATACACCTTTGTGCCTTATTTCATGCACAAGATCTGAAACGTTATGGTTTTAGTGAAATTCTTGTTCCTATTGTTCGAGACATTAAAGTGTTAGAGAGCGATGGTATTGAGATTCCACTATTCGGTGGTTATGTTCGTGGTAGTGTGGTACAGGTCACTGGTGATAATTTAGGCTTACATAGCTTGTTTGGTCTGGTGGAGTCTTTCAGTGCAAGGTACTGTTGCAGGTTTTGTTTAGCTGATAAAGATGACTTTCAAACAGAATTCTCTGAAGATTCCCCCAAAATAGTGTTGCGCACCAAAGACAACCACACTGCTCACTGTCAGGAAATGTCTAATAATCCATTGCTTCCTTATGTTTTTGGTGTAAAGAGTTCATGCTTATTGAATTCACTGACATATTTTCACACAACTGAGAAGTTCTCAGTTGATGTGATGCATGATGTTTTGGAAGGAGTGGCCCAGTACAAACTGAAGTTATTGTTTTTGTATTTAAAAGAACAACATCTTACATTGGGAGAAGTGAATTTGAGAATACAAAGTTTTGATTATGGATTCATGGAGAAAAACAATAGGCCAGTAGCTGTGAATTTAGGTGGAGAGTCTAATGATCTGGGACTGAATGCTATTCAGACATGGTGCTTACTGAGGAATGTTCCCCTCATGTTTGGAGATTTGGTAACCTCTACTGACCAACATCGGGGCCTACTACTTTTATTACTACAGATAGTTAACATTGTATTTTCTCCTATGTTATCTCAAGGTATGTGTGTATATTTAAAACATTTGATTGTGGAACACCACAAACTGTTCAAGATGTTGTATCCCCAGAAAAAACTTTTACCAAAGCACCATTTTCTTATCCATTATCCTCGCTGCATCCAAAAAATAGGGCCTGTACTTCATAGTTGGTGCATGCGCTATGAAGGTAAGCACAATTTTTTCAAGAAACTGCTCAAATCATTCAAAAATATCACCAAAACGCTGGCCAAAAAAACACCAGAATTATATGGCATACATTTGGCAATCTTCAACAACCTTTAGTCGGTTAGACATTGGTCCAGGAAAAATGGTGTCTTTAGATATGGTAAAAGGAGGTTCTGGAATTGCAATAGCAATGCAACTGCCCAATAGAGTTCAAGTTATGAAAGTGAACTGGGCTAAACAGAATGGTATTGTTTACCGCCCGCATTTGGTTATTTGTGGCAAAGTAGTGTCTGAAATGCCTGTGTTTTACCAGATTGAGTCCGTTCTGATAATACATGAGAAACTGGTACTTCTCATTTTGCCATTATGTACAGTAGCCTTTCAAGAACATTTCCATGCTTATGAGTTGACCAGGACAAAGCAAGATTTAGTTGTCTTTCATGTTGACAGCCTGCATTATCCCAGGCCTTTTGACATACAATTGTCGTATGGAGTGAATGACAACTGTCATTACTTACTGTCATTTGTAAGAGTTTGTTATGCTAATAAATGCTGTTACTGTAACCTGTATGTTTGTAGTTATTTTCATAATATAGGATAGATCACAGCCATTTAGAAATATAGCATCATATGATAAATATGAAAAAATAATGAAAATGAAATATTATTACACATTAGAGTGAACTTGGACTAAAAATAACTCTATAAAGTGAAATCATATTACTCTAAACAGTGTGAATAACCCTCAGTGTTAAATATTTTTACACATTTTGTTGTTAATTTTGACACTAAACTGAGTAGAATTAACACTAAAAAGTTAACACTGGCCATAGAGTAAATTTTACCCTAATTTTGAGTGGGACCAAATGTTATCTGAAACAGAGTTAAAATCAACTCTCTAAGTGTAAAATTGACAGTTTTTTACTGTGTGGCCTCATATCAAATGTGAAGGCAGACTGAGTCTACGTTTGACGTTTGTTTATATCTAATCTTCCTTTTCAAACATTTAAACAGCAGCGAGTCTGCAGCTGAGGGAACACAAACTCAAATTGTCGGAACAGGTTTGCTCGTTTCTTGGATTCATTTGGTGATTTATTAAATGTATAACTGTTATTCTAATCTGCTGCTGGGTCTCTTACACTTTTCTTTATGCTGTATATTTTCACGTCTCTGGAATAGTTGGCAGTTAGTCAGCTGGGAAACTCTGCATATCGTGGATATGCTGACCTCGCTCCGTGGTGTACAGGGCCGTTTACCCTCATGATTAATATTCACAATAAAAATATTAGCCGAACATCATGAAGTCTGTATGTGTTTCATAGTGTCGAACAACCTTTGTACAGTTAAAGCCAGCAGTTACTACATGACAGAAACACCAACGTTATCTCTTTTATGCGTTTATACACAGGTCACGCTGATTACTGAACAAAAACCCAAAGATCAGATGTTAAACAGATTTATTTGCTCTCTCTCCTCCTTAAACATGTTTTTAATGTTAGTTATAATTCAGAATTGGCGACTGAAACACGTAGGACACATAAGAACATCAGGAAATAAAACACCGATAAATATAACCTCAGTAAAAGAAGTCAGCGGGGGTTACTACAGCTGTGTACCGGGGCCTGCGCTTTGTCGGTGGGATTGCTTGCGAGGCGAGCGGGTCTATCCCACGCTTTGCCGTGAGACTGGGCAGACGTCTCCGAAATCATCGAAGCACTTTTGCAAAGAGGCTGTATCTTGACAAACCGACCAGACACATGAAGATTAAACCACTACATTCTCGGCTAAAAAAATATTAAAACGGTATTTGGTGACACACAAACAGGGTTTTTCAAAGTTCAGTTCTGTTAGCTTCCACATGCCGGTTGTTGTGTGCTAGAAACAATGGCCACCAGGCCTAAGCAATGGTTTTGACTTGATCAGCGTTAACCCCGCCCCCTGAGTTTGATGGGTGAGGCTGACAGATAAAATTATTTCAAGATGAGAGCCAGGCGCCAGGACTGCCAAAATGAAATAACTAAATATAGCATTAAATAATTAATTAAATGTGTCAATAATTAATTAATTAAATGTGTGTTGGCCCTGCGACAGACTAGCGACCTGTCCAGGGTGTACCCCGCCTCTCGCCCTATGACAGCTGGGATAGGCTCCAGCGCCCCCCGCGACCCTGAAAAGGATAAGCGGAAGCGAATGGATGGATGGATGGATGGAATAATTAATTAAATTTGTGAAATACATAAATAATTAATTAAACGTGTCAATAATTAATTAATTACATGTGTCATAACTATTTATTTAATTAATTAATTCCAATTTTAATTAATTATTGCCACATTTAATTCATTATTTAATGGTGTATTTAATTAATTCATTATGGCAGTCCTGGCGCTCCATAGGCACCAGCGCCAGAGGTGAGGTTGAATACAAAGACTGTCCTCTGGACACCGTATAACATGCCCGATCCCAAGGCCCTATATGTATGTGTTATGAGAGTGTGAGTAATGTGGATGTCTAGGTTGTGGAATAAAATCAGTCTGCTGATAAAACAGTGAGCACAGTGAGAAGATCTTCACTGAGCTGATCCATCTCATCTCATAAAATTGAGGCACAGGTGACCAGGAGGGGACAGAGGGGGAACGACCTTTTATTGCTTTTTTCTACAACAATTTCTTAGTTCAGCTGCAGTATTTGATATCCTGTAATGACTAAAATGATAATTTAAACTAATTTACATAAAAAGATTGTCTTTTAAATGTTAAGGTTATTTAACAACTTTAAAGGCTGAGCAGTGCTATTTTTAAATGAAAAACTCACAGGCTCACATGTTCCAGGATTGAATTAGTGTCTGATAACCCTCCCTCTTCCTGCTCTCTAACTCAGCACCTCCTCTCTGTCCACATGTTCCCTTGTTCCCTCCCCTTCTGATCTGCAGTTTGAAGATGGGTGCAACCAACATGTGGTGACGTATAAGAGCTGACAGATCCCATTCGCTACAGAAACCTATGTTGTTTAGATCAGAGCAGTTTCAGTTCTAAGGAAGTGAAACTCACACAGTCACTGACACTGTTGGGTGAAATGGCGCAGAAAAGTGTTCAGCTGGACCGAGAAACCTTCTCTTGTTCGATCTGTTTGGATCTACTGAAGAATCCGGTGGCTATTCCCTGTGGACACAGCTACTGCATGAAGTGTATTGAAAGCTTCTGGGATGAAGAGGAAAAGAAGAAAATCTACAGCTGCCCTCAGTGCAGACAGACTTTCACAGCGAGGCCTGTCCTGGAGAAAAACACCATGTTAGCAGTTTTAGTGGAGGAGCTGAAGAAGACTGGACTCCAAGCTGCTCCTGCTGATCACTGCTATGCTGGACCTGAAGATGTGGCCTGTGATGTCTGCACTGGGAGAAAAATGAAAGCCTTCAAGTCCTGTTTAGTCTGTCTGGCATCTTACTGTGAGAAACACCTTCAGACTCATAATATTGTTGCAGTTTCATTAAGGAAACACAAGCTGGTGGAGCCCTCCAAGAAGCTCCAGGAGAACATCTGCTCTCGTCATGATGAGGTGATGAAGATGTTCTGCCGTACTGATCAGCAGAGTATCTGTTATCTCTGCCCTGTGGATGAACATAAAGGCCACGACACAGTCTCAGCTGCAGCAGAAAGGACTGAGAGGCAGAGAGAGCTGGAGGTGAGTCGACAAAACATCCAGCAGAGAATCCAGGACAGAGAGAAAGATGTGAAGCTGCTTCAACAGGAGGTGGAGGCCATCAATCAGTCTGCTGATCAAACAGTGGAGCACAGTGAGAAGATCTTCACTGAGCTGATCCATCTCATCCAGAAAAGAAGCTCTGATGTGAAGCAGCAGATCAGATCCCAGCAGGAAACTGAAGTGAGTCGAGTCAAAGAGCTTCAGGAGAAGCTGGAGCAGGAGATCACTGAGCTGAAGAGGAAAGATGCTGAGCTGAAGCAGCTCTCACACACAGAGGATCACATCCAGTTTCTACACAACTACCCCTCACTGTCAGCACTCAGTGAGTCTACAGACTCATCCAGCATCAATATCCGTCCTCTGAGCTACTTTGAGGATGTGACAGCAGCTGTGTCAGAGGTCAGAGATAAACTACAGGACATTCTGAGAGAGGAATGGACAAACATCTCACTGACAGTCACTGAAGTGGATGTTTTACTGTCACAACCAGAGCCAAAGACCAGAGCTGGATTCTTAAAATATTCATGTGAAATCACACTGGATCCAAACACAGCGTACAAACTGCTGTTATTATCAGAGGACAACAGAAAAGCAACATTAATGAGACAACAACAGTCTTATTCTGATCATCCAGACAGATTCACTTGGCAGCAGGTCCTGAGTAGAGAGAGTCTGACTGGACGTTGTTACTGGGAGGTGGAGTGGAGAGGGGGAGGAGTTTATGTAGCAGTCGCATACAAGAATATCAGCAGAAAAGGAGGAGGTGATGAATGTGGATTTGGATGTAATGACAAATCTTGGTCATTAAATTGTAACAACAACAGTTTTACATTTTGGTACAACAACATCCAAACTCCTGTCTCAGGTCCTCGTTCCTCCAGAGTAGGAGTGTACCTGGATCACAGAGCAGGTATTTTGTCCTTCTACAGCGTCTCTGAAACCATGACTCTCCTCCACAGAGTCCAGACCACATTCACTCAGCTGCTCTATGCTGGACTGTTGGTTTACTATGATTATGGAGACACTGCTGAGTTGATTAAAGTGAAATAGACTGAAGTCTTTCATATTGTTGTAAGTTTAAATCTGTATTTTAGTTCCCTTTTAGTTTCTCTCCATCATTATTGTGGTATTTATGTGCTGCACATAAATCAGATGTCAGTCAAACATTATGGGCAGTACCTCGACATCTTCAACATGTTGTCTTGATGTTTTTACGTTTTATAGGTGGAGCTCTTTCCTGTGTCTGTTCAGCCATGGAGACTATCAATGCTTATGGATATTTTTATTTGAAAAATTTCTCCACATGACAACATAAACTTCTCTATCTTCTAAATGTTTACTGAATATTTTTCTTAGGTATTTGTATGTTGTTGTTTCTCTTCACTGATCTTAACAGAGAAGTCTACAGACCTTCCTTTATCACACAGATTTTATTCTCATTTGTACATTTATAAAGAAAACAATTAATTACAGAGCAATAAGAAATTTTAAGAAAGTGCACTATATCATAATTTATAGTAAAGTGTATTAAAGCATCGTTAGTTAGTCACTTATTTAGTTTGGAGCTGTATCATCTGACACTGTAGAAACATTTCCTCCAGCTTCAGCACAGAATGTTAAAAACAGAACTATTAATGAGAACAAACAGTAGGAACACAGTATCAGCAAACATCATGGCTTAAAATGGAGAGTAAAAATCTAAAAAGAAATAAACAAATTAGTAAAAAGGATTTCCTGTTGACATGTTATTGGTCCTATCTTGTCTGCAGCACCTCCAGGATGCTTCTTATATGTTTCTGGTTATTTTTGCACCAATTTTAGTTTTTGTCAGTAGGAAGTTCAAGTTCAACTCAGTGTGTTTGTTTGTTTTTTTCAAACTGATGCCTGACCTTGAACACCAAACATCTGTCAATAAAGCAATGATATAAAATGCTTATATTAGTACTGAAAAACTGCATATCCACTTTACAAATATAAATAATGATATAAATCCACAGCTGAACTGGAGGAGCAGCTGATCTAGTTCACTCATGTGTTTCTGGACTAAGAGTTGGAGCAAATACCTTATGATTCAGTGATGTTTGTTTTTGTTAAATATTTTGTAGATCCAAGAGTGAGTTTGACTCATGATGATGATGTTCCGAATTAAACAAAGTTGGTCACAAATTCTTCAAAGCTGTTTATTAAGAATATATTCACTTGGACTCATGAGACAGGCTTGTGATCCAAGGGAGCCATCAACTGGACAATTACTGACATGACAACAAAAAAGCTAAGTACAGAGGGGGGAACAGAGGTGAAAATACTTGCTTTAAAGGATTGTAATGTTTCCTTTTAAAATAAGTCTCTAAGGTCAGACAAAGGGACAGAAACTCATAGCTTTCTACCAGCCCAATGACAAAACTATAAGTTGTTTTTTAACATCTACTTTTTCATCTATTTGGCAGTCACAGTGAAAAGTATAAACATTGGCACGCTTTGTCTTGTGATTCTGCTGTTCGTAAAAAATGACCATGCGCAAAGTACCAGACTTTAAGGCTTTGACTTGATGCCAATGGCCTGAGGAGGACAGTATTACCCTTGGACATGTGTAGTCTGCCGTCTACTCAATAGAAGAAGAAGAAGCGCGGAAATGGCACAACTGTCTTCAGTTTCTGGGAGAGTTTAACAATGAGAGACTGATGATGCAGAAGAAATCTCCGTGGTTAAAAACATTAAAAACAGTCGTCCAGGATGATGAGATCCGCCACTGGCTCAGACTGCTGTATATCAGCCGGAGACCCGAGATGAAGTCACGCAGCAGGTATGTAAAACTGTGATGTTCTCAATGAACTAACACAGGAACGATCTGAGCTCAGTCTGTAAGCTAACAGGCTAAAATCAGAGAGCAGCTAATCAAACAAGTGCGTCCGTTTTTTTTAAAGGTCAACTTTTAACAATAGACTTTCATGAGACACATCAAAACCAAACAGGGAGGGAAAGCTTCGGTTTTCTGCACTGTGCCACAGTTCGCTGTCTGCTTCGGTTCACGACGCCTCACTCCGGGGCTACAGACAGTTCTCTGCCGCCTGTGGTGCTCCTCACCTCCGTCTGCACCCACAGACTTCCCGAGGTGGAGGCAGGCCGGCAGGGACTTTGAGAGATGGGCTTTACTTTTAAAAATAGCCCTTAATCAGGGTCTAACTCACTAAAAGATGGCCACATGTCTCTCTCCAACTTAATCTCTTTCTTTTAAGTAATTGTTTTTCATTGAAATGAAATTAATTGTTCAATAAAATGATTACATTTATAATTGAATTAAAGTTAAATGAATCAAGGTGATTTTGACTTTGCTAGTTAACAGGAAGAGAAACAAACTTACACAGGATAAAATGAAATTTGGACCCAGCAGAAAAAGTCAGATCACAGACAAACAGAAACATTCCTCTTTGGCTAAAATAAAATGCAGATTATTGCTCATCTGCAGTTTTAATCATGGTGAATAATTTATGATTCAGCCAAGTAAGATTCTTCTGTGTGGAGGTTTTTCCCCTGTCAAAAGGCATTGACCATTACCTTCATCTAAACATGGAATTTAAGTCATGTAGTTGCCGTTGTTTGTTTTTAAAGAGGTCATAATATTTTTGTGATGGTAGAAATTTATCTTCAAAGTAATAGTTATAAAGTGAATTAATAAGACTTTCCAACAAAGAGAGGGAGTCACATGGTGCTTCTGAAACATTTGTACAAACCTCTCTCACATATGTGAGCAACATGCTCACAGTGTACAGCCCTGCTGACTGAGGCTGCACCTTTACCTGTCTAATCTTTTTCTTTTTACTTTGTTCCTCAAGTCCCACATCAACATGAAGTGTAAGGAGGAGGAAGATCTGGCTGGCCAGCAGGTCTGGAAGCAGGAGAGGAACTTCAATCTGGACCAGGAGGACACAGATCCCCCACAGATCAAAGAGGAACAGGAGGAACTCTGCATCAGTCAAGAGGGAGAACAGCTTGTAGTGAAACACGAGGATGAAGGCATCGTCGTCTGGAGCGGGGAAGAGCGGCTCAGACAGCTGCGTAACATCTGGAAACCTGAGAAAGATTTACAGACCAGCGGTAAAACTGTAATCGCTTTTCTGAAGTGTTAACATTAATATTAAACCTACAGTTTGTATCAGTCAGATCTATTTAATGTGTATTCGTGAAAACATGACAGGGAGTTTTAAATGGACTGGTTCTTATATAGCGCTTTTCTACTCAATCTTGAGCACTCAAAGCGCTTTACAAAACTTGTGCATTCACCCACTCACTCCCATTCGCACAAGCACATTTTTCTTAGTGCTTTCTACCAACATTCAGACACACATTCCACAGATCAAAGAGCAACTTGAGGCAACTTGGAGTTAGTATCTTGCCCAAGGATATTTGAAATGCAGACTAGGTGAAGCCGGGAATCGAACCGATCAGTAGATGATCTGCTCTACCGCCTGAGCTACAGCCACCCCCAATAGTGAAGATTATTTTGAAAAATATCAAGATGTAGATCAGTTTCGAGATCAACTCCAAAATAGATCATCAGTCAGTCAGTAATAAGTGAGTTCTTTTTTGTTTGAAAGGTTTTTTTTACTCTTAATGTTGCTGAAAAATGTCAGAACTCAAGTTCTCATTTGCATCAGAGTGCACAAATAACTTCATTTTACACACTTTTAATTTCACCTGCAAATGTGAGCAACATGCCCTCATTACAGACTTTAACTAAAACTTTATCTTCTCAGAAGTGTTTTTCTATAATTACATTTTTTTTATTGTTCGTTTAGACCTCCACCAGCAAACTGCCTGTAAGGAGGAGGAGTTTGTCGCCAATCAGCAGGAGAGGAACTCAAGTCTGGACCAGGAGGACCCAGATCCTCCACAGATTAAAGAGGAACAGGAGGAACTCTGCACCAGTCAGGAGCTGGAGGAGATTGTACTGAAGCAGGAGATCAATAGTTTTATGGTGACTTCTAGTTTTGAGGAAAGTGACCTCAGTGAATCAGAACCAAACGATGACCAGCTCCTTGCTCTTAACTTTCCTGAACCAGAGCTTGAGGAACAGGAAGAAAACCAGCATGTGGACTCGGGATCAACTAGAAATGCGGAGCTGAAGAAAAGGAGACGTCACAAAAACCGAACAGATAAGTCTCGGAGTGAAACTGATACAAGTAAAAAATCTGTAAGCTGTGACACTTGTGGAAAAACTTTTCAGTGTAAATCCAACCTGACGAGACACATGAGAGTTCACACAAGTGAGAAGCCACATTCTTGTAGCACCTGTGGGAAAAGATTCATTTGGAAATCAGGATTGGAAACTCACGTAAGGATCCACACAGGCGAGAAGCCGTATTTTTGCATCACCTGTGGGAAAAGATTTAATAAGAAATCCGGATTTGAAAGTCACGTGAGAATCCACACAGGCGAGAAGCCGTATTTCTGTAGCACCTGTGGGAAAAGATTTGGTAAGAAATCAGGACTAGAAACTCATTTGAGAATCCACACCGGTGAGAAAGCGTATTCTTGCAACGTCTGTAGGAAAGAGTTTAGAGACTTGTCGACTATGAAAAGTCACAGAAGGATCCACACAGGTGAGAAACCATATATTTGTAGCTCCTGTGGGGAAAGATTCAGTTGGAAATCAGGACTGAATTTTCATCTAAGGATCCACCTGAGTGACAAACCAAATCACTGCAGCACCCGAGGTAGAAAATGACCTCATGCTCCAAGTCACGGTACATTTCCTGTCCACAGCAGTGAAGGGCACTCTATGTTGTTTGTTCCAGCCCTGACTTTATGTTTCTCTAAGTTTGATATTTTTTTATTGGTCTTTAAAGGTGACACAAATATTTATTGAACATGGATGCTCTTTTAATATTTACCACAGAAACTTGTATTTCTTCTTCAGTATAGAAGAAAACAAACATGAAAATGAGTTTTTCATCACTTGTTCCTTGTAACAACCATGATGTGATTCCTTTTTATCAGCCAATAAATAAGTTTTAATACACAGGACTAAAGATTTAAAAAAAGTTCAAGACAAGTATACAATTTTTATTTAAATATGTTTTCTTTGTGATTTATGTTAATGAAGGTTATACTTCAGTATGGCTTTGACCTGGTTGTCCTGGTTCTTCTTAGCAACATGTTGCAAGATTTGATTAAATTTTTTGTGACTAATTTTGTGTATTGTGTAATCCCTGCTAAATAAAAGCAGTTAAATGTGCTATATTGGCTCATGATAAGTGTTTATATCATTTTGCCTAAATGCAAGTAAACTCAATGTTTGCCAACTCTGTGTGTGCAGTTTGCTTCATAAGTACAGTAACAGAACTTGAACTACATGGAGCCTATTTTGATTACATCATTACAGATGTAGATATTATTCATAGTTCATATTTCACAGTGTGCTGCAATCTTCTCCACAGACCTGCATTGCTCTCTGTTCAGACCCGTCATCTTCAAGATGTCCACTAGATGTCGTCAGAGTTCCCCCACTTTCCTCATCTATTGTGTTGCCATTACGTGATCCTGCTTAAAACCTACAGTCCTTTACATATGGGTTCATTCAGGGTCATGTTTAGTGGGCAGGTTTAGTGCAATGAAGGAAACTCGTTTTCTTTAACTTTACCTCTCAGTAAGTAACTGGAGTAACAGACTCACTGATTCCTCCCCACCTGCTGGACATGAACCAGCTGACTGACACTTGTTTTCATTTTCTCATTCATAAAGTTGCTACCAGTTCAATTCATTTATATTTATATATAGTGCCAAAAAACAACAGTTGCCTCAAGGTGCTTTATATTGTAAGGTAAAGAATGTAAAAACCTCCACAATTGAACAAGCTGAAAAGAGCAAATGCTTGGCAGCAGTGGCAGAAACAGGCTTTCTGTCGTAATCACTGTAAAACACTAATCACTGGTCAGTCATTTGTTGTGTTGCAATCGGTTACACTGAGGGAAAAAATTTCACAACTGGATCTCGGAGATAATGTGAATATTTGTGAAAATATGTGAAGATGAGGCTGAAATAACTCTGAGACTCTAAAACATGATGAAATGCTTACATATTGAAATGTGTGTAGTAACATGACCTACAGCTTGTTTAAGAACTCGTGATTTTTTTCCCCTGTTGGCATAAGGTGAAATCCTGCATAAAGGAGGTGACCTTTGCTCCCTGACTCAGACGTGATAAACATGACCCAAATCATTCACGTTGGTGCCAAATAATGTTTTGTTAAAGTTTAACAAGCTTTCCCAGCCTGAAACTGCCAGACAAACAAATCACCTGTTGGAGATGCTGGTTTAGCTCCCTGGGTAAAGTGGGTGACCCAGATGCTAAAGCCCAGCTATGACTCCTGCCTGAGGACTTTTAGTCTTGGTTTGCATCCAACTTTTCTGCCACAATAGTTCAATTTTCTTAATAAAACACCAAATTACAACAAGTTACCTCGAGGCAGTTTATATTGAAGGCACTTTATTTGAAGGTAAAGATCCGACAATAATACAGAGAAACAACAGGTAGAAGCAATGGAAGATTGAAAATAACGGTTGTCATTACTTTTCATTCAGTCATATATTAAGATACAGAAACACCATCTGTTGTGTGTAAAGATGAACAGTAGGGGTAGGGTGATTTTCACCAGATCAAAGCCATGGATTCACAATTATGGTTTGGTGCTGTTGAGTACCTGGATAGAAAATGCACATGTGGAATGGTAGAAAGTGTTCAGCATGCTTTGATGATCTGCTTCAACTATGCTGGGGTGAGCATTACAGACTGCTTCTTAAATTTAATAACCAAATTGCATCAATGGGGAACTATAAATTCTACATTTGGATTTCTGATTATTATTTCTGGCTGATTTTCATTAGATCGACCTGAGTAGGGCAGCGACAGATGTGTGCGGTCCAGAAGTAGAAGAAGAAGAAAGAGGAGAGCAGAAATGATGACATTCTAGGCTCGCTTTTCACCTTTGATGTACTCTTAGCAGGAAGACTTTGGTTTGGTGATGTGTTAGAGATAATTTAGTGGTTGAAGCTACTGTGGACTGACCAGATCTGCCATCAGCTCAGAGTGCTGGATATCACCGCAAACCTGAGACAAAGTCATACAGAACAGGTGTGTAAAACTGTGATGGTCACTGTGATGGGTGCATGCAACCACACAACTGAGACACTTAGTAATATTCATTTGGTCTTTTGTCTTATGTTTACGTTATGCTTTAAAGTTTCTGTGATCATAAGTTAACTAATTTGACGTTTTGAGGTTACCTGTAGTGATGTGACGTTCTGTATCGAGGCTTCGGAGCGTGTGTCGGGTAATTGAGGGGGCGTTTCCGCGATGCGCGTATCGAGGCTTGCTTCATTTATGGGAGGAGCTGAAAATGATGACGTCCGAAGCCTCGCTGCCCGGCTGTACCACGTGACTGGTTCATGAAGTGGTTCGAACTTTGCCGCGAGATATGACAGCGATATAAAGCCCTCAGACTTCATTCAAAATGTGGGTGTTTGATGGAGAGTTGCGGTTAGTGAGAGTTTGGAGACAGTTTGGAGGTTTATGAGAGTGAGGAGAGAAAGTCAGGAGAGAATGGAGCCAGCTAAGAAGAGGAGGATGTCCTCCCCTGTGTGGGAACATTGTGATTTTATTCCTCCCAACAAGGTATGTAAATTTCTACAGAAGATGTATTTTCATGATACTGATGCTGCAATACAATTTATGTTGAGCTGTCTTGACTTTTGTACAAGGTGAAGTGTTTGCTATGTGCCAGGGAGCTGGGATATAACAACAACACCTCATCCATGCTTAGGCACTACAGAGCTTTGCATGAGAATAAGGGGAACACCGATTGTGGAGCAAGACCAGGTGAGCCATCAAATGCCATGATAATATAGCATGCAGTAATGTTACTAAATGATATAACAATATTATACAACTGTAATAAGTTACATGTGTGATATTTATATTTGTGCTTTGTCTTTATTGTCTTTCCTCAGGAGAACAATCTCAAATAGATGAAGACCTGGTCAGCATGGTGATTGAGGACTCCCAGCCATTTAGCATTGTGGAGGACAAAGGATTCAAAAGATGTGTTAAATCATTAAATCCTAGCTATGTTCTCCCCACTAAAAAGGTCATAAAAGCAGTGAAAATTTAGTTTTTACAGAATAAAATGTGAACAGGCAGGACTGTGTAGCTGTCCATACCTCAACGTTACAACCGCACAACCACTGTCCACACCCCAACCACACCTCACCTCACAGTAAATGATCATTTGCATTTTAAGCATTTCCAAATAATCATTTTCCATACTGCCAGTATAAATATACACAGTATACTGCATCACTACAATATACATGTTTTACACACTCCTTTTGTTGTTGACATTTACAGGCTGTGTGCAAAATGCCACACTCTTCAAATTCATGCCAGCTATTATTTTTACGTCCAGTAGGTGTCCTACTAGAGCAAATGAAGCTTCAAGAAGCTTTGCGCTGGGGTGAACCAATTGGATGAAAAGCTTCAGTGCTTCACGAAGCTTCATCTGCCCATCACTAGCATAGACTTTGCTTTGCATTGTTTGTTATTTTATATAGGTATGTTATATTGATTATATTTCTGCTCTTTCTCAGTTACCTGACCTCCGCTCCAGTCCTTCCTGGTTTGGCTGAAAGAGGAGGCTGAGGGTGGAGCTGGTTTAAATGCAGAAGCCAATAAAGTGGACTGGACCATCTATTGTGATCATGCAGGGGGAATGGGGTTCTTCTTGAATGATGGTTATCTGTTATCCCTTTAGTTTTCACCTTTGGTTTATATAATGGTTTATTCATTTGCTATATAACTGGAGCTGTTTCTCATTTGGGCAGGTCAGTTTGAGTTATGTTTTTGTGAAGTGATTTTTGAGTAGCGGTCTGTTAAGGTAACCTCTTTTATGGGCCCACTTGGTTCTTACAAACTTTATTTTTTGTTATTTTGAATTTTTGCAATCATTTTGTCCTTTTTGGGGTATAATAAAACCCATTTTTTTGAAGATTACATTTGTGCCTGTGTTCCTGGCGGCTTGGATCATGACAGTCTCAGTGAAATAACACTGACTCATGCAGGACTCTGATAAAAACTCAGCTTGTGGGCTAACAGACTAAAATCAAAGAATGCTTCTCTTTTTCTCTTTTGTTAAAAACTTTGAACATCCAGTGAGACACAGAGTAAAGTGACTTTCCAAGATTGTTTCTTCTTCTACAGATTCAGATAAATGATGTCATTTTGAGCCAGAAAGAACATTTCCATCATAAAGTAGAAGACTTTTATATTCTTTATTTATTTATCTGGTAAAAAGTCTCATTGACTTTAAAATGTCTTTTTCAAAAGAGATCTGGCCAAGACCAGAAGCTCCAGTTTTCTCTGCTTCTGTTTGCAGCAGAGCAAAAAGGACAGAGAGCAAGGGACGAGAGAAGACACGAGACAAAGACATGAACGGGACCAAATACTAACCAAGACAACCTAAACAACAAATACTGAATAAATTCAAGAGCGTGAGCCCTTGAATTCTGATTTAATAAAGTAAATCAGAATACTTTATTAATCCTGAAGGATTAATAAAGTATTCTGATTCTGATAACTAGGAAACATAAGATACACAGAGAACAGAATAATGATTAAACAAGACTCAAAAAACCACAAACACAAAACACTGGGTCAACGGCCCAGGTACCCTAACAGCCGAGGGAAAAGATGACCTCCTATTCACATCACTATGGTATATTTTACTCCCATATCACTACTCAAAGATCATATTTTATTGTTGTAGGTTGTGGAGGTGACACACACACAAGCTGTAGTTCAACAATGACTTCATTCCTCTATTGACCTATAAAGAGGTCTTGTTACATAAGATTAAAGCTGGAAACTGACACACATAAGCCCAAACACATTGTGTTATTGTGGACGTTGAAGTCACTGCATGTGTTTTTCATGAAGATTAAACTTTCCTGTGCTGTTGGTTCTTTGTTTAATTCTGTTGATTCTTACTTTTTTGTTCCTAAAGTTTAGTTTAAACTAAACCTAGTGTTCACATTTCCCCTGTCTCGTGTAGTCAATTAGGATCAGCTGTGTCTTTGCCGTTCCATGTCTCCCCCTGTGTGTATTTATACTATGTGTCCTCGTGTGCTCCTCGCCGGTTCATCTGTGTTTTTTCCTGCATCATTCTGTGTCGTCTCCCTGCATCTCCATTTTAGGTTTCAGTTCTGTGTTGTGTTAGTTTTTTCCAGTTTAGGTTTCACCTCCTGCTGGCCTCCTTCGCCCGTTCCTAGATGCCCCTGGTCTCATATCGCACTGGACTTCATCACTGGTCTCCCACCATCCTCAGGTAACAGTTATTCTGACCATCATCGATCGGTTCTCCAAAGCTGTGCATTTCATTGCTCTGCCTAAGCTCCCATCAGCTCTGAACACCAGCCAGATTCTTACACAGCATGTGTTCACGTTCTGGGTTTGGAGAGAGTTTTGCAAGGAACTAGGGGCTCAAGTCAGCTTACCATCCGGTTTCCATCTCAAACTAATGGGCAAATGGAACAGGCAAGCCACCTTGGCTTTCATACCTTGGCTCAGGCGATTAGAGGATCATCAGGGGGTCCTTTTGTCCCTCTGTGGGGGGATACTCCCACTAGTTTTAAATCTGGGACTCCCCACCATTTGATCTTAGAACTGAAGAAGCTTCTCGGATGAGAGGTGATGAGAGGTGAAAAGTCTTGTTGAGACTAGTAGTTAAACATATGCCATTTTATGACCAGTAGTCAATGTAGTAAATTAGCTTAACAGCTGTAGGCCATATATTATCCTTTAGTTCTAATGGTGTGCTATGTATGTAGTTTAGTCTCTATTATACTCTTGAATAAAAGAAACATAATCATTTGTAGTTCATTAGACAAAGTGTGCATTACTCTGTATCCTTGATCAGCTGTGAATGTCTGACACTGTTTTCTTGAGATGTTTTATTGCTGAATCATGTGAAGAAGGCTGTAAGAGGGAGACTAGGTGTCTGGGCAGAAGAGATAAAACCACATTCCTTACCCCCCTTCCTGCTTCACACAGAAAGACAGGGAGGCAAGGTCAGGAGCCAGGCTCGCTAAGAATTAGAAAAACATGTGAAGATGCAGCTTTTATGACAAAGAGGGGGGCTGTGACTAGCTATAAAAGTCTGTGAAAGTTGCTACCATTTTGAGACATGCTGTCGAACCTCTGCAGGCATCTCTCCCGTCCGGACGTTGTAATGCTCTGACTGTTGAATTGTATGGAAATAAATGATTGTTGATTGAGCATTTATACACCGAGTATTGTCCTTCCTTCAGCGCAAAGATTCAAAGAATTGGGAGATTTCAACAACTTGGTGCCGTGTGACCCGGATCTTTGGTGTGCTGAGGAAGTGGGGCGAGGCGAACGGAAGACCGGTCTAACAACAAAAAGGTAAGCACAGCCTGTTGTATTATACCAAATGTGCATATTGGGCTTTCCAAATTAATCTGTTCGCTGAGTCACATGTATTTTCACAGTAAATTTGTCGGTGTCTGGTTTTTGGCGCAAGATACTAACAACATAAGTTGAGGCTGAATTCCAGTGTGTTAAATAAACTGCTTCTACCGAGAAACTAATAAGATACTACGTTGAGCTAGTTGCAGCCACTTTACCTTCCACATTTAATTTTGTCTAATACTGGCTTCTGTAGCAATAATACGTTAGAATTTCTTCTGAAGACGCGGCCATTAGTCCAGTACATTGAAGTCGAGGTTTGTTTATTTTGTTTATGGTGTCAGTGACGTCCTGGCTTTTGCCGGCTATGAAATAGAAGTTGATTTAAGGAAAAGCAGATGCTGGCTTCACGGTGCAGTTGAACGCTGGCAACGCGAGAGCGAAACACGTCCGTAGGTTTGGTTTATGATACGGCGTGTTCCGGTGGTGCGGCCGTGAAGTGCAGTAGTGGTTGGTGCTAGTTTTAGTACATTGGATAGAGGTTTGACGGTGGTTTGTGGCGTCAGTCGAGTTTTAAGGGCTGCGGTCATAATACAAAGTAAAATTTTAAGTACATAGAGCAAAACCTGGTTTATGATGTCAGGTATAACTTCGGGGATGCAAGCATCACTTTTATGATGCGACTTTGCCCCGTTGTGGCGGTCATAAGCGCAGAGAAAGGGGTATTTTGGTCTATGGTGCAGTGTGCTTTAAGAAGATCTAATAGTTGAGCTCAGAGGTTTCTGTGTAAAATTCCCGCTGAAGAAAAGTGTTGTGTGTGTGTGTGTGAAGGCGCGCTCTGAGTGAGAGTGTGTGCGAAGCTGCGAAGCGCGCTCTGGGTGCTGTCTTGTGTGTAAAGCGCGCTCTAGGTGTTGTTTTGAGTGTGAGTGAGGCGCGCTCTGAGTGTGTTTTTTGTGTGAAGTGTGAAGCGTGAACACAGTGACAGTGACGGTTGATGTGTTTGATTAGGAGGACATTAGAGCAAAGACACATTTTAGGATCAAAGGTTGATGCCTAGTGTACCTGTGGAAATAATTTTGCCCTAGGAGTGGCGACCCTCCTGTTCGTGGACGCGCGGCCAGGACCGGCGGCGTCCGGGTGCCGAGGTGGTGACTTGGGGAGGTGAGGGCCCCCGCATAGCTATGGAATAACACTGGGACCGCAGCGTAATCGCGGGTTCACATTTATTCCGGACTAGAACAAGACACATTTTGCGAACAAAGGTTGAGTCTAGATTAGTTAAGAAATAAAAAGGTTAAAATTCCTCGTTTCAGTGGTTAAAATTGTTGTGTGCCTGTCCCCTGACGAGTGTGAAATTAGAATAAAGAGGGAATTTGGAGCCACATAGAGATAGACGGGCATAATTGGGTGTATTACTCTGTGGTGTAAACATTTAAAAAGTATTATTAAAAAAAAAAAGGAGAGAGAGGGTGAGAAGTGTGTGGTGGTGTGAATATGTCGGGTCTTAAATCTGACATAGAAAAAGGAGTGATGCAGGGTGAGTGGAAAACTGTTGATGAGCAGGTGAAGGAGTTGTTGCGGGCGCTGAGGGTCATGCGACCTGGCAGCGTGGGTGAGAAAAAATCAAAGGCTGCAGCTGTGGCAGCGAAAGTTAAAAAGTTGTGTGATAAGGAAGGAGTGAGAGGAGAAACAAGAGGTTCGTTGGCAAAATTGCTTCTGGGAATAGCACAGAAGCTCCAGGAAGAAGAGCAGGAGATTAGTACACAGTTAGAGGAGGCCTCTTTCTGGAGCAGGCGGAAACTCAGGAAAAAGTTGCAGGAAATTCAGGAGGAGAAAGCCCGTGTAACGAGGTGGGCTGTGACATGCCAGGGGGTGGAGCACTGGATGAGGAGAGAAGGGAGGAGCCTGAGAAGCTGATGCTGCCGGCTTCTCCGGTGAAGTCATCGCTCACTGGTTTTCCCCTCCCTATCAGGCCCCCGCCCCCCTTTACCCTGTGCTGAGGGTGGAGCAGGGCTGTCTCTCTGGTGAGAATGGCCAAGTTTTAGAAGTGACAGGAGGTTATGTGGATTGTGATATATCTAAAGAGCCCAAACGACCTACTCCAGCCCCGAAGAGTGAAAGAATAAAGCAAAGCTCCACTTTTGTTAATGAGGAGGGAGCTTGTGGCGGAGTGCAGTCACCGCCCATGAAACAGTCTCCCCAGCAGGTAGAGACTGAAGAAGAGCGGGCTGTGCGGCTGCTTGAAACAGCTATAATAACTCTAGAGCAGCGTCATCAAATTTCTGATGATGAGGCAGGTAGTGGAGTAGTTGTTGCACCACAGGTTGAGAAAGGTGAGGTGTGCGGGCCCGATGGGGACGCATACGAGGGCTGGTTATCCGGCACACTGGATGATAATACACCAGTAAGTGTCTGGGAAAAGCAGAAATTAGATGCAGGGCCGGAGCTAGAGGGCCGGGGCCGGAGCTAGAGAAAAATCAGGAAGAGGCAGAGTAGTCAAGCCCAAACCTGCAAACAAACCACACCCCATGATGCGTCGGAGCCAGGAAGATAGGGACACTTTGTCTCTGCCGGGGACATTCCCCCTGGTGGTGACCGCTGGGGGTCACATGAAATACAAACCATACGGGGTGGGAGATGTAACTGCATTGACTGAGTTATTACCTCCTATTACGGACGGAGGTGCAGGGTGGTTGAGAGAGTTTGACAGAGCAACAACAGGTGTTCAACTGGCCCTAGGTGATTTCAGAGCTGTGGTGGCCAGATGTGTCAAAGGCACAGCACTGGATGACATAGAAAAAATAGCAGGTACAGCATTGATGGTTGATAGCACCCCGTTCTGCCGTGTTGTGAATGAAATATCTCATGCATTACGTGAAAAATATCCCACTCCAAATGCTGCTAAGATTTGAAGTTGTTGTGGAAGCCTGATCAAACTCCAAGGAAGTACATAGAACAGGCTAAAGCCACATGGGCCCTTAACACTGGCCAGCATCCTGGTAGAGAGGGGATGCAACAATTGTGGTTTAGAGACGCTGTGTTAAAAGGTGTGCCCGAAAGGGTCAGAGTGGCCATGACTGATAATCCCGACATGGAGGGGGCGGAGTCTCACGTGTGGGAGAAACATCTGGTGCATCGCCTGCAGACAGCTCATGATGAGGTTATGGCTAAAACTGAGGAGACAGATAACATGAAAGAGCAATTGTTGAAATTACAGCTGGGTGAAATGAGGGGAAAGGCAAATGACAAGAAAAAGGATGAAAAAGTAGCAAAAGTAATGGTAGCTCAAGGTTTCCAGCAAATGGGGACTGATGTTGATCCTAATGCATTGCCAGTAGACACACCGGGACCCGCGCGAGGCACAAATTGGGGTGGCCGTGGGGTCGGTAGAGGAAATTGGGGTTCACGTGGTGGTCAACGGGGAGGAGGCGGCGGCATGGGTAGACAAAGGGGTGCCAGGTACTGTGTGTTTCAACTGTGGTCAGACTGGACATTGGGTTCGAGAGTGCCCAGAACCACCTCAGCAGTTCAATACCAACATGCCACGTTCGGCCAGAAGGGGGCGTGGACAATGGTCGGCCCCCAACTCACAGATGGCTCCTCCAGGCCAGTATTCAGTGGAATACTGGCAGCAGGGACAATACTGACACACCCCACAGAGAGGCCTGGGCATAGGGGGAGGGCAGACCCCCTGGTGCCACTGAGGGTTCAAGGACGTAACCTGCCCTTTTTAGTGGACACAGGAGCGACGTATTCCACCATTCGTACGGCTCCTGACGACATCCCACTCACAGACACAAAAATCAGTGTTATCGGCTTCTCTGGGGTACCTATGACCTTGCCAGTGACCGTCCCTCTAAAGACGGAGTTAGGACGCCAGTCCTTAACACATTCATACATGATTTCATCACAAGTTCCAGTTAATCTGTTGGGCAGGGACCTGCTCATTAAGCTTGGAGCTACTATCATGTGTGGAGCTGATGGATTAACAGTGACTTTGAAAGATGGCACACAGCTGTCCTGTTTGCAATCAGGAATGAGAGGACAGTGGCTGTTATCTGAGGATTGTGAACGCACAGCGCAGATTTACTGGGCGCGACTGACCACATCAGATGGAATTCTGGCACAGTACCAACTCTGGCGTCCCTGGATAATGTCCATGTCGGTTTACTCACCCTTGCGTGACCCCTACCACGTGACCTTGTTTTACGATCGCGAGCGCACTGAGTGGTTTGAGGAATTGTTTAATGAGTGTTTAGATGAGACAACTTGGGAGCTTAACTCTCAGGACATTTATGTTGGTACAGCTGGAGTGGCAGCGTTTGTTCCACTCCCTGAAGATAAAATGAGTTGGTATAGAATGGGGGATGAAGCGGTTCCCCATGTGTCTTTGGCAGTGCACGAGGGTCATCAAGCAAAAGATTTAGGCCCCATGGTGAGAACAGCCACAAGGGCCACAGATTGGCAACAAACACAACTCACTGATGTCTCATACTCACCCAGTTGTAAAACATATCGAATTTCTGTGACTGCTACTGATCAGAGTGTGTTAGAACACAAACTTTTAAAGCGAACACATGGCAGGGAGAAATCTGATCACGAGGAAGCTGTTAAAGGCTTAACAGAACTCCCAGACACTCTGTGGTCTAAAGGTCCAACTGATGTGGGTTTAACATTTTGTTCACCCGTCACATTTGAGTTAAAGGATGACACCCCTATTTGGCGTTCACAATACAGACACAGCCCAGAGGCAGATAATGGGATTGCAGAAACTATTTCAGGACTCCTGCAGGTGGGTGTGCTGGAGTCGTCTTCCTCTGCATGGAATACTCCGATCCTCCCAGTTGAAAAGTCAGGCACGGGCAAGTATCGCATGGCACATGACCTTAGGGCAATAAACGCTGTCCTTAAGACACAAACAGTACCTGTACCAAACCCGTACACAGCTCTGACTAATTTATCTCCAGATCAGCGGTGGTTCACATGCATAGATTTGGCAAATGCTTTCTTTTGTCTCCCTCTGCATCCATTCTTAAGAGATATTTTTTCATTTACTTACAGGGGCCAGCAGCTGCGTTACACACGGCTGCCGCAGGGTTTTGCCCTTTCACCTGGCATTTTCAATCAGGTACTTAAAAATGCTCTTTCTCCATGTGTATTACCTGAAGGATGCACACTGATCCAATATGTGGACGATTTGCTGATTGCCGCTAAAACAGCTGATGCTTGTTTTCAAGCGACAATGACTGTGCTTCGTCAGCTGGCTAAAACAGGCTTTAAAGTAAGTAGAGAAAAACTCCAACTTGTCAGAACTGAAGTTACATTTCTAGGTCGTGTGGTGGCGATGCAGACGGTGGGCATGTTGGCGTCCCAGAGGGAAACAATTATGTCACACCCCCAGCCACGTACAGTTAAAGAAATGTTGTCATTTCTTGGGCTCACAGGTTACAGTAGACACTACATTCCTGACTATGTGGGCAAAACCAAACCTTTGAGGGATTTGGTGAAAGAACACGGCATGAGAGATCTCACAGCTAATCTCAACTGGACCACTGAAGCTGAAATGCGGTTCATTGAATTAAAGCAGGCCCTGTCTCGTGCAGCAGATTTGGCAATCCCCGATTATAACTCTGATTTCTCAGTTGATGTTTCTGAAACAAATGGAGTAGTAAATGGTGTGTTGTTTCAGAAAAAAGGGGGAAAGAGACAAGTGCTGATGTATATCAGCATTGGCCTGGATAACACAGAAAAAAGACACCCCATGTGCACACAACATGCAGCAGGGGTAGCAAAAATAATTCAGAAAGTGGCTCACATTGTGAGAGGGCACCCACTGAAAGTGCTCACAACACACAGTGTGGTGGCCTATGTGAACTCACAGGTATTTACAATGACCCCACTGAGACAACAGAGACTGACTAAGATTCTGGAGTCTCCAAACTTGACCTTCACACATGAAGGGATTAACATGGCAGATCAAATGGGGGGGACACCTCATGACTGTACACAAATAGTAGAGGTTGAAGAGAAAGTAAGGTCTGATTTGAGAGCAGAACCGGTGAGTGAGGCAGATGATTATTTTACAGATGGATGTTGTTTTAGAGATCCGAGTGAAGGATTGAAAACAGGCTATGCAGTGGTGAAAGGAGTTGGAGACCAGCTGCTGGTGGAGAAATCAGGAACATTAGAAGGGCCTCAGTCAGCACAGAGAGCAGAGCTTATTGCAGTGATAGAAGCTCTGAGATTAGGGAAAGGAAAAAGAGTTAACATTTATACTGACTCAGCATATGTTTTTGGAGCAGCACATGTGGAGCTGGGGCAATGGAGGAGGGCTGGATTCAGAACAGCCACAAATAAACCGATCAAACATGAGGAGGAAATGAGACAGCTGGAGGACGCTCTGAAAGAACCTCTGGAGGTCGCTATCATAAAGTGTAAAGGGCATGACGAGTCTGACACTTGGGTGGCGAAAGGAAACAGAGCAGCCGACGAGGAAGCAAAACGGGCGGCAGGCTATAAGGAAGGAAAACAAATGGTAAGTATGGGTATGGAATGGGGAGACCTGCCAGCCCAACAGCGAGAGGACATCGAAAAGGCGCAAGGAGGAGCCTCACCCGAGGAAAAGGCGGTGTGGCAGGAAAGAGGGGCCGTACAATCAGAAGGATTGTGGAGAGGGCCCGATGGGCGGCCAGTGCTCGCAGCAGAAGTGGCCCAGGAGAAAATCAAAGAAGCTCATGGGCTAGGTCATGTGGGAGTGGCCCAGATGGAAAGGGATTTGTGTCATTGGTGGCATCCCTACATGAAAAACCTGGTAAGGGAACATGTGAGAACCTGCCTGATTTGTGGACAATACAATCCGAAGCCCACCGTGAAACCAGAAATGGGTAAGTTTCCTTTGCCAGAAAGACCAGACCAGGAAATTGTGATTGATTACACTGACATGATAACCACTGTTCGAGGGTTTAGATATCTGTTGGTGTGTGTGGATGGTCTGACTGGCTGGCCAGAGGCGTGGCCAACGCGCAGAGAGGATAGTAAAACAGTGATCAAATGTCTGGTGAATTATTATGTCCCCTGGCATGGATTCCCAGAGAAGGTAAGATCAGATAATGGCACTCACTTTAAAAATCGAGATCTCGCTGAGGTGGAATGTATGTTGGGGTTGCAACATAGATATGGTACAGTTTACCATCCACAATCTCAGGGAAAAGTGGAAAGAATGAACCAAAATCTTAAAAACAAATTGGCAAAAATCTGTGCACAGACCAACTAGGTGTCTGGGCAGAAGAGATAAAACCACATTCCTTACCCCCCTTCCTGCTTCACACAGAAAGACAGGGAGGCAAGGTCAGGAGCCAGGCTCGCTAAGAATTAGAAAAACATGTGAAGATGCAGCTTTTATGACAAAGAGGGGGGCTGTGACTAGCTATAAAAGTCTGTGAAAGTTGCTACCATTTTGAGACATGCTGTCGAACCTCTGCAGGCATCTCTCCCGTCCGGACGTTGTAATGCTCTGACTGTTGAATTGTATGGAAATAAATGATTGTTGATTGAGCATTTATACACCGAGTATTGTCCTTCCTTCAGCCCAAAGATTCAAAGAATTGGGAGATTTCAACAGTCTTCAAGCAACTTAAACAAGTCCAGACGCTTTTCTTTGCAAGCTGATTTGACTACGATGACCTGGATGACTGAGAACCTTCACAGACATAATAAACACAAAGTTTTTGTTCTATAACATTTTTCTATCGTTGCTTTATTATGGATTAGGTGCAAGAGTTGTTAAAATGTATAATTAAATAATAGATGGATTCAATAGCAAACTGTGCCTCGTTCTCAGATGGACAGCAAGTGGAATGTGATAGATGAGATGAGGAGATGGAAGGAAGAAGAGAGGCAAAGAGTGATTCACAGGCAGAGCTTAGTTTATTTCCCAGTTTTGTTGCCTTATGGTTCCAAGCGCCGTGACCAATCTTTGCGTTTTATTATTATCTCATAACACTTGTTTAATCAGCTACCCTCTCTCCTGTGGACTGTTTAATCTCTACAGTCTCAGATCAACACAGCCCTGCCCTCCAGCACTATCAGCAGCAAGAGCAGAAGCAACCCCCCAAACAGCAACATTGTACCCCATCAGGTAAAAAATGGGCTACGTTTGCTTTGCATTGTGCCCACCTGATGACAGTGATGTAGTGTGATGTGATTCCATATTAGATTCTTGATGAATGTGGGTTGTTGTTCTTCAGCCTGCTTCTATGTGCCCTTTTTAACTGTGAGCACCCGCCCCTTTAAACATCTCTGCACTGCCCTGACTAAATGTATATATAAACTGTCTCTATGGTTTACAGTCTGAGTCTGACAAGCTGTCAGCTGTTCATTTCTGCTATTTGAATTGTTAAAAGAAACAAACTATTCATTTAGCAGATTAACAAAAAGAATAGAGAGGCATCCAGTTATTGACATTTATATTATTTAGTTAAAGGTTTGAACAGAAAACAATTAAACACAGAGCCTCTTCCTGCTTTCTGGAATGAATCGCAGCATGAAAACCCTTCCTCTTCTTCCTGCTCTCTAGCTCAGCACCTCCTGTCTGTCCATATCGTTCTGTGTTCCCTCCCCTTTAGATCTACATTATGAAGATGGGTGTAACCAACGTGTGTTAGAGCTGGCAGGCCCCATTCACAGCAGCAACACATGTTGTTCAGATCAGGTCAGACCAGTTTCTATAATAAGGAAGTGAAACTCACACAGTCACTGACACTGAGAGGAGAAATGGCGCAGAAAGGAGTTCAGCTGGACCGAGAAACCTTCTCTTGTTCGATCTGTTTGGATCTACTGAAGAATCCGGTGACTCTTCCCTGTGGACACAGCTACTGCATGAACTGTATTGAAAGCTTCTGGGATGAAGAGGAAAAGAAGAAAATCTACAGCTGCCCTCAGTGCAGACAGACTTTCACAGCGAGGCCTGTCCTGGTGAAAAACACCATGTTAGCAGTTTTAGTGGAGCAGCTGAAGAAGACTGGACTCCAAGCTGCTCCTGCTGATCACTGCTATGCTGGACCTGAAGATGTGGCCTGTGATGTCTGCACTGGAAGAAAAATAAAAGCCTTCAAGTCCTGTTTATTCTGTCTGGCATCTTACTGTGAGAAACACCTTCAGCCTCATTATGATTCACCTACATTCAAGAAACACAAGCTGGTGGAGCCCTCCAAGAAGCTCCAGGAGAAGATCTGCTCTCGTCATGATGAGGTGATGAAGATTTTCTGCCGTACTGATCAGCAGAGTATCTGTTATCTCTGCTCTGTGGATGAACATAAAGGCCACGACACAGTCTCAGCTGCAGCAGAAAGGACTGAGAGGCAGAGAGAGCTGGAGGTGAGTCGACAAAACATCCAGCAGAGAATCCAGGACAGAGAGAAAGATGTGAAGCTGCTTCAACAGGAGGTGGAGGCCATCAATCAGTCTGCTGATCAAACAGTGGAGCACAGTGAGAAGATCTTCACTGAGCTGATCCATCTCATCCAGAAAAGAAGCTCTGATGTGAAGCAGCAGATCAGATCCCAGCAGGAAACTGAAGTGAGTCGAGTCAAAGAGCTTCAGGAGAAGCTGGAGCAGGAGATCACTGAGCTGAAGAGGAAAGATGCTGAGCTGAAGCAGCTCTCACACACAGAGGATCACATCCAGTTTCTACACAACTACCCCTCACTGTCAGCACTCAGTGAGTCTACAGACTCATCCAGCATCAATATCCGTCCTCTGAGCTACTTTGAGGATGTGACAGCAGCTGTGTCAGAGGTCAGAGATAAACTACAGGACATTCTGAGAGAGGAATGGACAAACATCTCACTGACAGTCACTGAAGTGGATGTTTTACTGTCACAACCAGAGCCAAAGACCAGAGCTGGATTCTTAAAATATTCATGTGAAATCACACTGGATCCAAACACAGCAAACACATGGCTGTTATTATCAGAGGGGAACAGAAAAGCAACAGTAATGAAACAACAACAGTCTTATTCTGATCATCCAGACAGATTCACTAAAAGGCGTCAGGTCCTGAGTAGAGAGAGTCTGACTGGACGTTGTTACTGGGAGGTGGAGTGGAGAGGGGGAGGAGTTTATGTAGCAGTCGCATACAAGAATATCAGCAGAAAAGGAGATGATGAATGTGGATTTGGACATAATGACAAATCTTGGTCATTAAATTGTTACAACAACAGTTTTACATTTCGGTACAACAACATCCAAACTCGTGTCTCAGGTCCTCGTTCCTCCAGAGTAGGAGTGTACCTGGATCACAGAGCAGGTATTTTGTCCTTCTACAGCGTCTCTGAAACCATGACTCTCCTCCACAGAGTCCAGACCACATTCACTCAGCCGCTCTATGCTGGACTTTGGGTTGGAGCCACTGCTGAGTTGATTAAAGTGAAATAGACTGAAGTCTTTCATATTGTTGTAAGTTTAAATCTGTATTTTAGTTCCCTTTTAGTTTCTCTCCATCATTATTGTGGTATTTATGTGCTGCACATAAATCAGATGTCAGTCAAACATTATGGGCAGTACCTCGACATCTTCAACATGCTGTCTTGATGTTTTTACGTTTTATAGGTGGAGCTCTTTCCTGTGTCTGTTCAGCCATGGAGACTATCAATGCTTATGGATATTTTTATTTGAAAAATTTCTCCACATGACAACATAAACTTCTCTATCTTCTAAATGTTTACTGAATATTTTTCTTAGGTATTTGTATGTTGTTGTTTCTCTTCACTGATCTTAACAGAGAAGTCTACAGACCTTCCTTTATCACACAGATTTTATTCTCATTTGTACATTTATAAAGAAAACAATTAATTACAGAGCAATAAGAAATTTTAAGAAAGTGCACTATATCATAATTTATAGTAAAGTGTATTAAAGCATCGTTAGTTAGTCACTTATTTAGTTTGGAGCTGTATCATCTGACACTGTAGAAACATTTCCTCCAGCTTCAGCACAGAATGTTAAAAACAGAACTATTAATGAGAACAAACAGTAGGAACACAGTATCAGCAAACATCATGGCTTAAAATGGAGAGTAAAAATCTAAAAAGAAATAAACAAATTAGTAAAAAGGATTTCCTGTTGACATGTTATTGGTCCTATCTTGTCTGCAGCACCTCCAGGATGCTTCTTATATGTTTCTGGTTATTTTTGCACCAATTTTAGTTTTTGTCAGTAGGAAGTTCAAGTTCAACTCAGTGTGTTTGTTTGTTTTTTTCAAACTGATGCCTGACCTTGAACACCAAACATCTGTCAATAAAGCAATGATATAAAATGCTTATATTAGTACTGAAAAACTGCATATCCACTTTACAAATATAAATAATGATATAAATCCACAGCTGAACTGGAGGAGCAGCTGATCTAGTTCACTCATGTGTTTCTGGACTAAGAGTTGGAGCAAATACCTTATGATTCAGTGATGTTTGTTTTTGTTCAATATTTTGTAGATCCAAGAGTGAGTTTGACTCATGATGATGATGTTCCGAATTAAACAAAGTTGGTCACAAATTCTTCAAAGCTGTTTATTAAGAATATATTCACTTGGACTCATGAGACAGGCTTGTGATCCAAGGGAGCCATCAACTGGACAATTACTGACATGACAACAAAAAAGCTAAGTACAGAGGGGGGAACAGAGGTGAAAATACTTGCTTTAAAGGATTGTAATGTTTCCTTTTAAAATAAGTCTCTAAGGTCAGACAAAGGGACAGAAACTCATAGCTTTCTACCAGCCCAATGACAAAACTATAAGTTGTTTTTTAACATCTACTTTTTCATCTATTTGGCAGTCACAGTGAAAAGTATAAACATTGGCACGCTTTGTCTTGTGATTCTGCTGTTCGTAAAAAATGACCATGCGCAAAGTACCAGACTTTAAGGCTTTGACTTGATGCCAATGGCCTGAGGAGGACAGTATTACCCTTGGACATGTGTAGTCTGCCGTCTACTCAATAGAAGAAGAAGAAGCGCGGAAATGGCACAACTGTCTTCAGTTTCTGGGAGAGTTTAACAATGAGAGACTGATGATGCAGAAGAAATCTCCGTGGTTAAAAACATTAAAAACAGTCGTCCAGGATGATGAGATCCGCCACTGGCTCAGACTGCTGTATATCAGCCGGAGACCCGAGATGAAGTCACGCAGCAGGTATGTAAAACTGTGATGTTCTCAATGAACTAACACAGGAACGATCTGAGCTCAGTCTGTAAGCTAACAGGCTAAAATCAGAGAGCAGCTAATCAAACAAGTGCGTCCGTTTTTTTTAAAGGTCAACTTTTAACAATAGACTTTCATGAGACACATCAAAACCAAACAGGGAGGGAAAGCTTCGGTTTTCTGCACTGTGCCACAGTTCGCTGTCTGCTTCGGTTCACGACGCCTCACTCCGGGGCTACAGACAGTTCTCTGCCGCCTGTGGTGCTCCTCACCTCCGTCTGCACCCACAGACTTCCCGAGGTGGAGGCAGGCCGGCAGGGACTTTGAGAGATGGGCTTTACTTTTAAAAATAGCCCTTAATCAGGGTCTAACTCACTAAAAGATGGCCACATGTCTCTCTCCAACTTAATCTCTTTCTTTTAAGTAATTGTTTTTCATTGAAATGAAATTAATTGTTCAATAAAATGATTACATTTATAATTTAATTAAAGTTAAATGAATCAAGGTGATTTTGACTTTGCTAGTTAACAGGAAGAGAAACAAACTTACACAGGATAAAATGAAATTTGGACCCAGCAGAAAAAGTCAGATCACAGACAAACAGAAACATTCCTCTTTGGCTAAAATAAAATGCAGATTATTGCTCATCTGCAGTTTTAATCATGGTGAATAATTTATGATTCAGCCAAGTAAGATTCTTCTGTGTGGAGGTTTTTCCCCTGTCAAAAGGCATTGACCATTACCTTCATCTAAACATGGAATTTAAGTCATGTAGTTGCCGTTGTTTGTTTTTAAAGAGGTCATAATATTTTTGTGATGGTAGAAATTTATCTTCAAAGTAATAGTTATAAAGTGAATTAATAAGACTTTCCAACAAAGAGAGGGAGTCACATGGTGCTTCTGAAACATTTGTACAAACCTCTCTCACATATGTGAGCAACATGCTCACAGTGTACAGCCCTGCTGACTGAGGCTGCACCTTTACCTGTCTAATCTTTTTCTTTTTACTTTGTTCCTCAAGTCCCACATCAACATGAAGTGTAAGGAGGAGGAAGATCTGGCTGGCCAGCAGGTCTGGAAGCAGGAGAGGAACTTCAATCTGGACCAGGAGGACACAGATCCCCCACAGATCAAAGAGGAACAGGAGGAACTCTGCATCAGTCAAGAGGGAGAACAGCTTGTAGTGAAACACGAGGATGAAGGCATCGTCGTCTGGAGCGGGGAAGAGCGGCTCAGACAGCTGCATAACATCTGGAAACCTGAGAAAGATTTACAGACCAGCGGTAAAACTGTAATGGCTTTTCTGAAGTGTTAACATTAATATTAAACCTACAGTTTGTATCAGTCAGATCTATTTAATGTGTATTCGTGAAAACATGACAGGGAGTTTTAAATGGACTGGTTCTTATATAGCGCTTTTCTACTCAATCTTGAGCACTCAAAGCGCTTTACAAAACTTGTGCATTCACCCACTCACTCCCATTCGCACAAGCACATTTTTCTTAGTGCTTTCTACCAACATTCAGACACACATTCCACAGATCAAAGAGCAACTTGAGGCAACTTGGAGTTAGTATCTTGCCCAAGGATATTTGAAATGCAGACTAGGTGAAGCCGGGAATCGAAGCGATCAGTAGATGATCTGCTCTACCGCCTGAGCTACAGCCACCCCCAATAGTGAAGATTATTTTGAAAAATATCAAGATGTAGATCAGTTTCGAGATCAACTCCAAAATAGATCATCAGTCAGTCAGTAATAAGTGAGTTCTTTTTTGTTTGAAAGGTTTTTTTTACTCTTAATGTTGCTGAAAAATGTCAGAACTCAAGTTCTCATTTGCATCAGAGTGCACAAATAACTTCATTTTTACACACTTTTAATTTCACCTGCAAATGTGAGCAACATGCCCTCATGACAGACTTTAGTATTTAGTATTTAGTATTTATTTATTTATTGTCATTGTCAAGAACAATGAAATTGCGTTTGGGGCTTCCATACAACCCAAAAAAAAGAAGAAAATAATAAATACCCCTTAAAACCCAAGTGTACATATTTAACCCAGTGTGACTCCAATGCAATAAGACAATCCTTAGCAATAATGTTCGTAGAAATTCAGACAAAGACCTGAGAAACATGACAAAATACAACAATGCAACCCATTCAATATTATTGTACTGTGAGATATGATATCAGATATGATAGTTATCTATTTAAGAAAGAGGGGGGGGGGCAGGAGGGGAAGAGAATAAAGATATGATGCACCAATGCAGACCAGTTCATTGCTATTAAGAAGTTGGATATGGTTATTGTCCGTGAGAGGGGGGCAGAGAGTTCAGGATGTTCTGGCCTGTATAGACCTGTACCTTCTCCCTGAGGGCAGCAGATGGAAAAGGTGGCGCGCAGGGTGATGTTGGTCCCGCAGGATACTGTGCACCCTCCTCAGACAGCGAGTGGGGAAGATATTACTGATCTCTGGCAGACTTGTTCCAATAATTCTGCCAGCTTCTTTCACCACCCGCTGGAGTGCTTGCTGATCGGCCTTGGTGCAGCTGGGGAACCACACTAGAAATCCATACGTCAGAACGCTGCTGATGGCACAGTTTTAGAAGTTCAACATCAGAGATCTGGGAATGTGTGCGCTCCGCAGTCTCCTCAGGTAGTAGAGGCGCTGTTGGGCCTTCCGTACAACTGAGGTGATATGGTTGCCCCAGGACAGGTCCTCGGTCACAGTTACCCCCAAGAATTTAAAACTGCTCACCCTCTCCACCGCCTCACTGCCAATGAAGAGAGGCAGATGGTTGTTATGACCCCTCTTCCGGAAATCTACAATGATCTCCTTGGTCTTTTTGGTGTTTAAGACCAAGTTACTGTCGTGGCACCATGACTCTAGTTGTTGCACCTCTGTCCTATAGTTTGTCTCATCATTGTTGGATATAAGTCCGAGCACTGTAGTGTCATCTGCAAACTTAACAATGAGATTGGACGCGCAGGAGGAAATACAGTCATGGGTGAAGAGAGTGTATAGCAGAGGGCTCAGAACACACCCCTGAGGGGCACCGGTGTTGACCACAAGGGTGGAAGAGGTGTTCTTACCCACTCTGACACTCTGTCTACGGTTAGTGAGGAAGTCCACAATCCAGTTGCACAGAGAGGAGTTAAGTCCCAGTTGGTGGAGTTTGGGACGGAGTTTGTATGGCTGGATGGTATTAAAAGCCGAGCTGTAGTCTACAAAGAGGAGCCGTGCATAGGTGTTCCTGTGTTCCAAGTGCTTCAGTAATGTGTGCAGCACTGTGGCGATCGCATCCTCGGTTGACCGGTTCTCCCTGTATGCAAACTGGTGCGAGTCCAGGGATGGTGGAAAAGCAGCTCTGATGTGTTTAATGACCAGTCTCTCCAGGCATTTGGCGGGAATGGGGGTGAGTGCCACAGGTCTGAAATCGTTCAGACATGTGACATTTGACTGTTTTGGGATGGGAACGATGGTTGCTGCTTTGAAACAGGATGGTA